TACATTTAATGATGTATTCATGAATACAGGTCTGCGCAACTTGCATCTGTTATATCTGGTCAGACTATTAAAGCATACCTGTGAGCTTTTAGACATCGTACTCTGCTGGCAAGATAACAGAATATTTCCAAATACAAATACTGTAACATATACAACATACACAGGGGGGGATTTATCAAAACTGGAGCAGACAAAATTTGCACTGCAACCAATCAGCTTCTCTGTCTCATTTTCAAATCTTACCTGAGCAAATGGGCAACTGCTCCAGATTCTCTCTGCTCCAGTTTTGATAAATTCCCCCCACAGTATGTTCTTCACTTACCATGGACAAAGCCATTATATTATAATGGCAATGGATACAATGATTCCCCATAGCTGATGATTACTGGGGGACCACTGCTTGAAAAATTACATTTAGTGGATAAAGCAATCACATGTTCTGAACATGCTTATTTTCATTCAGTTGGCATAATAATGTGACCTTACCGGTAATGAGCCTGGTACTTTCCATGTATTCATTTACTGACATAGTTACGTAGTTACATAATATTGGAAGTTGAATAAAGACACAGGTCCATCAAGTTCAACCTTTGTGTGTCTGTGTGTGTGTGTATATGAGTTCCTGTGTGGCCCAGCATTTAAGAGTACCTGTACCCCTGTATGTTATGATCTCTGAGGAAGGTATCTAAATGCTTTTTGAATGATTCAATACTCTCTGCTGATACCACTGCTTGTGGCAGAGAGTTCCAAAATGTAACCACTGTGACTGAAAAGAAGCCCCTACGCCCTCTGTGGTTAAATCTTTTCTCCACCAGTTTTAGATGGTGGCCTCTAGTCTTTGTTATGGAGTTAACTGTAAAAAGGTTATTGCTGATGTTGCCATCACCACTAATCATTTTGTACATCAAAATCATGTCTCCTCTTAATCGCCTAACTTTCAGCGTGATCAAGTTTAAATTTAGCAACATTGTCTCAATGCTTTGGTCCTCCAAGCCCTTCATTAGTTTATTTGCCCTTCTCTGCACTCTCTCCAGCTCCAAGACATCTTTTCTGTGGATTGGTGATCAAAATTGAACCACATACCCAAGATGAGGCCGAACCAACGGTGGCAAAATTATCGCTTTGTCTCTACAGTACATTCCCTTTTTAATACAAGACAGTACTCTGCTTGCGTTGTGTGCTGCAGCCTGGCATTGTATGCTATTATTCAATCTGTGGTCTACTATGACCCCCAGATATTTTTCCATTTCTGACTTCCTTAGTGGAGTTCCCATTAATGTGTATTCTTCTTGCCTGTTTTTAATCCCAAAATGCATTACTATACATTTTTCAGCATTAAACCTCATCTGCCATGTAGTTGCCCACTCCCCCATTTTATCCAGGTCCTCCTGTAATGTTATAATGTCTAAGTCCGCGTCTATTACCCTCCCAATGTTAGTATCATCTGCAAATGCAAAAACATGGCTATTAACACCTTCCCCAATATCAATAATAAACAAGTTAAACAGTATGGGGCCTAGTACAGAACCCTGAGGCACGCCACTCTTGACCTTAGACCAATCTGAAAAAGAGCCATTTAGCAATACTCTCTGGACACGTTCCTGTAGCCGGTTCTCTATCCATGTACACACCATTTCATCTGTGCCCATAGATCTCAGCTTGTGTACTAAGCGTTTATGTGGTACCGTGTCAAAAGCTTTGACAAAGTCCAGATACACCACATGTACCGGCCTCCCTCCATCCAGATATCCACTCAGCTCTTCGTAGAATGTTAGAAGGTTGCTCTGACAAGAACGGTCCTTCATAAATCCGTGCTGATTATCACTTATTATGCCATTGCCATGAACAAAATCCACTAAATAGTCCTTTATCATCCCCTCTAACAGTTTGCATACTATTGATGTTATTTGACCAATCAATGTCTGGATAATTGAAGTCACCCATTATAACAACATAGTTCCCATGCTCCTCAGCTCCATCCATTGGCAATAATGTTACTGTTAGCTGTTCGCTGTGCAAACGGTTTATAAGTCACCCTCTTAGTATTCTGTAATAATGTGTTCATCACACAGTAAATACCAGCTCACCTTCCGGTCAGGAGCTTAACTCCCACATCCATCTGTTCTTAAATACACACGGATAGAATTTTGACCGATCCAGGAGAAATTCAATCAGTGAGTGGCCAGATCTCCTCAACAAAAGTCAATGGTTAGAAACCTATTTTTCGAAGGGAAGTGTTGGAAACTTGTCGGGCGAACACTAAGCCCTTGCCCCACAAATAGCAGCAGCCTTGCGTACCTGTGCACCTCTCATCCCACACCTCTGGAGGTGGTTACATTGCATGTAAGGAAGGGGAGAGGCACAGGTGCCAGTACTGTTGGCTGGCCGGGTTTCGTAGAGACACTCGAGTGCACCAGAATGGCACGGGAACCTCTTGGAACCTGCTCAGGTAACAGGCGTGGAGCCGAAGAAGCACTGGTGGATGAGGTGACTTCTTGTTGAGTCTACGGAACTATAGGATACAGCAGCAAAAAAAACAAAACCCTGGTTTAATATTTTCCTACCTCATCCAAAACTGAAATGTTTTGGATTTAGATATCGGTAGAGAGAGATTCATTAAGCAATTATATATGTATTGTCTGCACTGTATTAGCAGTATATACTCTATATAGAGTATATACTGCTAATACAGTGCAGACAATACATTTACAATTATACTAACATGAATGTATTAAATGATCTGTATGTAGCCCTGTACTATGGATCATTTAACCCATTCATGTTAGCAGAGGATCATTGTAAATGTATTGTTGCAGGCACTCTATATGTACATTTCAGTTTAGAAGAGAAGAAAGCTATTTTGGATTGTTTGGCCGTTGAAGGAGTCAATAATAGGACATTTTGGGATAAGTTAAACCAGCTGTGCAGAACGGTTCCTTGTGACTTCATGATTCACACAAAATGTGCAATCGTCAGCAGTATTCTTAGTTCACCCTACACTAGAAACTCTTCCATATGTGCTGTAAAGAGGTATTGAATGACTAAGCGTGCACATTTCCTAGATACATAGATGAAGACCAGATTTAAAAAGACATCTTCTTTCATGTGACTTTAAAGTAGAGCTTCTTCAGATCTTGCTCATATATCATCTTGCCAAAGCCATACAGCCAAGGAGAATATTTCTTATTAAATCACAGTGTTTGGAGACACACAAACCATAATCAACCTAGCAAGTCGAGCATGAAGGAGATGGGTGTGTAGAACTTCTGCCTTGCAGCACTGGGGGACCCCGGTTTGAATCCTGGTCATGACAATAGCTGCAAGGAGTTTGCATGTTCTCCCTGTGCTTGTGTGGGTTTCCTCCCATTTTCCAAAGACATCCTGGATTGACCCTGTATGTGTGTACAAGAAAGGCCTTAGATTGTAAGCTCCTTGAGGGCAGGTACTGAAGAGAATGTGCAATATGTAAAGGTATTTATATAAATGCCTGTAATGTTGAGGTGGCCCAAAAGTGACCTAAAACCCCCTCCGGTAAAAATACTGCAAAGCAGCACACTGCCTTTTTAAAGCATTGGATATTAAAGGTAAGCTCTGAAGACAAACAGAGAGTCCCCTACCCTCTCTCTCCAATGCTGTTCTCTGGAACACCGGTGCACAGACAAGGCTCCCAAACCCTTTTGTTATAAACAGTGCAGAAATTGTTTGCACATGCTTCCATATCCAGTAAAAATCTTCTTTACGGATTTAAGGCATACCAGGTATATCGGTCCCCTAACGCGTTTTGGCCAAAAGAAGCCTTAAACTGAATAAGGCCTCATTTGGCTGAAACGCGTTAGTGGGATTGCTATGTCTGGTTTATGCCTTGATTGAATAAAGAAGATTGTTTACCTTATCCAAAACTGTGCAAACACTTTTTTCACCATCTGCATATCTACCCTTCTTGTCAAAATGAAATTTTTCCTCAAATATAGAGCTGAAGCTGAACTCCAATCTGATCTCAGAAGGTGATCTTAAAAATGCATTCAAAGTGCTTTAACGATGAACAGAACTGTACCTTGTTTGTGTATCACTTAGTTGTATATCCTCAAATCATCTCTGAGTTTATGTTGACACTGTCCTTCCTTTCCAGAAGGTGGCTACTTTTGTTCCCCATGGTCCCTGTGTGTGTTGTAAAGTAGCCACGGCTCCAAGCTCACTCCTGTGATGGATTACAATCTCACATTTAGTTTAATTTGTATTGAAATTGTAGTCCATCACGGGCCCGTCCTATGGCCACTAGATGTTGCTAAGGAGCATAGTAAATTTCCTTTGCTCCTCTGCTCCCTCTAGTGGCCATAATATGTTATTACATTGCGTTAGACCTGTAAAGAAAATATACTAAGAACATTCGTATTTGCCTATATTAGCACAGAATGAATGTTAACAGAAAGTCACAGTTTTCCTCTGCAAATTGCTTATGAATAGATCCCTACAACAAACACAGCTGAACAGCGTTAAGATCAGTGTTGGTCAACTCATTTTATATTGGGCACCCCCAATGGGCAACACATAATTTTAAGTGAGTTTGATTCTTCAGAGAGCTGTCAGAGACTGCAGATATGCTATAAAAGTTGTTGGAGATGGCAATATGCTTAAGGCAACATTCATAGATAAGTCCACAATTGTGCTCCTATGTTAAAATGCTGATACATACTGTCTGCAGGAGTTTTGAGGGGCACACAATAAGTGCCAAAGGGCTGTAACCCCCAGGCCTCACTTTGGGCACCACGGGTTTAGATGAAATGTACACCCAGGATATTGTGTTCATAATTTTGTGGGGTTTTTTTGCATTTTCTAATTGTGTAGAACTTATTACATACTAGGTAATGTCACCGAAGCATCGGTTTGAATGAGACATCATTAGAACATGCTAGAACATCGTTGGATTGGGGACATATTGCTTCATAGTATAAAATGGCTGCCTTCACTATGTGTACAAACAAGGTCCTCTTTATTTGACAGATGCTATAAACAGTTGTTGTTTTTTTTCCTGCAGCACCATGAGACTCTACCTCCTGCTCCTCACTATACCTCTGTTGGAAGCCACACCATTATGGGATGACACTCTGAATTCTGAATGGGAACAATGGAAGATCGCCTACCAGAAGCAATACAATGGACTGGTAACAATTTTTTAATAGAAACCATTTGTTTCTACGTCTCTAGCCAAAGAAAAGAGTCAAATGATTGTCTGAGCTTTATCATGATATAGTTCATATAAATCTATCTGTTAATGTTTAGTGCCCAGATTTATCATTGCAAAGGGTAAGTTGCCACCTACCAATCACTGGTGGTCAGGGCCCAGTATGGAACATCCAGAGATATAACTATACACATGGAGCTAAACTTAAAATATATGTAAAGGTAAAAACCTTTTTTTTAGATTTTTGTACAGTGGGGATAGGTTAGACCCGTGGTTCTCAACTGGTGGGTCAGGACCCAAAAGTGGGTTTGCTGGGTGCCTTCCACTACACTAGGTGAGAGGCTCCTCAGCGCCCTTCACCCCAGCACTGTCAGTTCTCACACCAAGCAGCCACTCAAATTATACTGCCCCGCGCTGAGTGTCAGCTTGAGGTGGGGTGGGCTGGAGGTATGGCAGGGAGGGAGCTCTATTCATATGCACATTGTTTACAGCTGGACTGGAGTGACGTCACATTCTGGCTCCCAGCACCTCTACAGGGCATGCAAGGGTTGTGCACAAGCAATGCACATATGCAAGGAGCTCTGTCGCAGCCCACTCCAGTTCTCGTTAGGTAAATAACATTTTGCGGAGTGTGTATGTGTGTGAGAATGTCTGTGAGTGTGTGAGACTTATGTCTGTGGTTGTGTGTGTCTGTCAAGTTATTTGAGGGCCCATTCACACTAGTATATTGCGTTAATTGCACAGTCACATGCAATTAACGCACTGTAGCATGTAATTGCACCTACCGTGCATTCATACCGCAATGCCATGCATTCCAGTGCTGTGTGACTTGGGTCGAGACTTAATGACCAAGGACAAATGTGGTCCTGAGGTTACACAGGTTGAGAACCACTGGGTTAGACCCTCCTGTCAGGTATATCCCCACTGGAGAGATTCAACCTTTGTTTGTCCAGGTGACCATTGTCAGTGAGACAAAAGGAAACAAAACTGAGGAATACTTGTTCCAGTGAAAACTAAGAATGTATTTATTTTCACTTTGGAGAGACTTCCTCTCACTTCCTATTATGTTTCCGGTACAGAAAGTACAGGAAAACCTCCCCAATGGAACACAGTACGAAAAGAAAACTGACAGGGGTTTCAATCCTTCCCTACCTTATCCAAAACTAAAAGGAAAATAATTGGGTTTAAAATATTCAGCAAATTAGGAGGTGAGGATATATTATCCAATGGGGATAAGTGTTCTGGTGACAACTGTTTTTGATGAAAATTTCTGTCACTTTAGGGGGTTTCCTTTCATTTCATGTTGCATCTCCAGCACAGGGATTAAAGGGAAACAGTCATGACTCCTTACTTTGCCCTTTTGGGTCCAGAAGCAGATTCTTTCCTCTGTACTTCAATAGAAAAAGATCCTGAGCTGTTTGCTCAATGGGCATAAGGTCATGTTCAATGAAATACTGAGCTGGTTGGTGTACAGGCATGAGGCCATGTTCAAGGAAATACTGAGCTGGTTGGTGTACAAGCATGAGGTCATGTTCAAAGTTATACTGAGCTGGTTGGCATACAGGCATGAGGCCATGTTCAAAGATATACTGAGCTGGCTGGCATACAGGCATGAGGCCATGTTCAAAGATATACTGAGTGGTTGGTGTATATGAATGAAGCCAGGTTTAAGAAGATACTGATCTAATTGACGTATGGGCATAAGGCCAAGTTAGATGAAATACTGAGCTGGTTGGTGTATGGGCATGAGGCCGGATTCAATGAGATACTGAACTTGTTGGTGTATGGGCATGAGGCCAGATTCAATGAAATACTGAGGTGGTTGATGTATGAGCATGAGGCCAGATTCAATGAAATACTGAGGTGGTTGATGTATGAGCATGAGGCCAGATTCAATGAAATACTGAGGTGGTTGATGTATGAGCATGAGGCCAGATTCAATGAAATACTGAGGTGGTTGATGTATGAGCATGAGGCCAGATTCAATGAAATACTGAGGTGATTGGTGTATGAGCATGAGGCCAGATTCAATGAAATACTCAGGTGGTTGATGTATGAGCATGAGGCCAGATTCAATTAGATACTTAGCTGGCTGTTGTGTAGGCATGAGGCTATGATAAATTAAATACTGAGCTGGTTGGTGTATGGGCATAAGGACAAGTTCAATAAAATACTGAGCTGGTTGGTGTATGGCCATGAGGACAGTTTCAGTCTTTGTAGTTACAGTATTTATTTATTTATTTATCCATTCCCTTGTCTTCCTTTTTATTTTACAGTTTGATGAATTAATGAGACGTCAGATTTGGGAGAAGAACTACAAACTAATCGCTGTCCATAATGAAGAATATCTGCAAGGCATGCACACCTACGAAATGGCCATGAATCGCCTAGGAGACATGGTAACTAGCTGACATGGTAACAAGGGTAAAAGCTGGCCGCACAAAATGGCATTTTACTTGGTTAGCCCTGTAAAAAGAACTGAAGCACATAACAGTTTACCAGCCATAATCCATGTCATAGGATGGCCCTTAGATTGTATGACTGTTGAATGAACTCATTGTATGTGTTGTGTATGTCCTAGCTTAAAATGTATCTAAAACCAAGAACAAAAATGTTATATATCATAGCTAACGAGCCCTTAGATACGTTGGCAGCATTCGTTTTCTTTTTCCCATTTTATTATTACCCTAATATCCTGCTAGTAACACACTTCCTGTACTGTATCTACGCACCTACCTTTCCTCTCCACCAAAACATAGGAAAGGTCTTTTGTAGAACATTTAGATTGCAGGGAACAATGTAATTGATAAAGAGTGTAGCAGTGGCAGAGAGCATGGGAAGATAGCTCACAGAATAAAGGAAGTTCATAGTTAAGCTGGCCATACACCTATGGATGCAGGCATTGTTCAAAATACTTCAACAACGCCTGCATGCAAACAAGTAATTTGACAGCCAGCGGGGCCGACTAGCAAGATACTGAAGCTTGGCCCAGTGGGAGATTCCTCCATCCACACAGTTTAGCGTAGATGGAGGAATCTGTTGCACTTTTTCCATCTGACCATAGAAAATCTGCAGATAATCTATAGTTGTATGGCCAGATTTAGAGATAGTAGTATACGAACAGCCCGCACTATCCAGAGAATTCCAATACTTCAGACTTTATTGAAATTCACAGCAAATCCAATATAACAGTGTAGCAAATACCAGCACCCCAAACCCAAAACCAGCTACAACCTCTGACATGCTTCACCCATAGGCTTATTCATAGAGGTAATAGAGGTAACAAATACAGACCAGTACACAGATGTAGGAGGCAATGCTCACTGATGGATTGGTTAACTCTAAACTAGCCAGTGTATGTGGGTCAGTAAAGAAACTACTAATTCCATCATACTTGTTATAATCTCCAAACCATCAATACCAATTGAAGTCAGGTGTTGTAGCTCAATCCGACCAAATAGCAATCCGCCTGTCAACTGCGCAGGGTCTGAAACAGTGAAACATAGATAAATATGAATACAAAAAAAAAGTCAAACTCTCTTGAGGATACATATATAGGTTTATAAACAAATAGATACATAATTAAAGGTTATATATATATATATGGAAAAAGTCCTTATACTTTCTGGAGTGTCAATTCCCTAATAAGTTCAGAGGCACATTGCAAGTCAATAAACCATTAAAAGGGAAAACAACTGCAAGTAAGCATTTCAAATACTTGACTTTAGTGTGTTTTTACCTGCAGTTTTTAAGTTGGTGACAGGTTCTCTTTTTCCACAATCTGTTGTTGACATCTTATCTCTGTTTCAACATCAGGAGAACCACTGATTCAGCACTTTGCATGTAGATTTGTCTGAAACTAAGAGAACCGTGTCCATTAGAAATCCAGAAAATGGATGATTCATGAATTCTTGTGTGATTCTTTGGAAATTGGACATAGCGTCATGCATATGTACACAGATAAGCCACTTCATCTAGTGTTTTATACCAATTTAATGCGAATGCTAACCTGCCAGTTAGTAAAATTGTTCTACTACAATGCTCCATTTCTTTCCAGACCAGTGAAGAGGTTGTGAAGACAATGACAGGACTAAAAGTCCCACCAAAAGACAGGGTGAGGAACATCACAGCTGATGATAATGATGAACCACTAAACCTCCCGGACTCCATTGACTATAGGAAGAAAGGTTACGTCACACCAGTCCGGAACCAGGTAACATTACAAAATCCCTTTCATCCAAGATCAACAGTTTTCCATTAAAAAAGGTTTCAAGTCTTCATAATATTTTAGAGCTGCTGTACATACAGGTGAAACTCGAATAATGAGAATATCGTGCAAAAGTTCATTTATTTGACTAATGCAACTTAAAGGTGAAACTAATATATGAGATAGACTCATTACATGCAAAGCAAGATAGTTCAAGCTGTGATTTGTCATAATTGTGATGATTATGGCTTACAGCTCATGAAAACCCCAAATCCACAATCTCAGAAAAGTAGATTATTACATGCAATCAATAAAACAAGGATTGTACATAGAACAATATCGGACCTCTGAAAAGTACAAGCATGCATATGTACTCAGTACTTGGTTTGGGCCCCTTTTGCAGCAATTACTGCCTCAATGCGGCGTGGCATGGAAGCTATCAGCCTGTGGCACTGCTGAGGGGTTATGGAAGACCAGGATGCTTCAATAGCGGCCTTCAGCTCTTCTGCATTGTTCGGTCTCATGTCTCTCATCTTTCTCTTGGCAATGCCCCATAGATTCTCTATGGGGTTCAGGTCAGGCGAGTTTGCTGGCCAATCAAGCACAGTAATCCCACGGTCATTGAACCAGGTTTTGGTGCTTTTGGCAGTGTGGGCAAGGTGCCAAGTCCTGCTGGAAAATGAAGTCAGCATCCCCATAGAGCTCGTCTGCGGAAGGAAGCATGAAGTGCTCCAAAATCTCCTGGTAGACGGCCGCGTTGACCCTGGACTTAATGAAGCACAGTGGACCAACACCAGCAGATGACATGGCTCCTCAAATCAACACAGACTGTGGAAACTTCACACTGGACTTCAAGCATCTTGCAGTGTGTGCCTCTTCATTCTTCCTGCAGACTACACCAGGTATCCTTTGGGATCTCCTGGTTGACGGATAGCAGCCTCAAAAAGTTTGTTCTTTACTTCTGATTTCTGTCTATTTTTAGATCCAGCGATCCTTTAACACATACCTAATAAAATCTAATACTTCTGTTCAATAAGTGTCATGGGGGTCATGCTGAGTCATTGGGGCGCGGTCTTCATTCTAATGCTCTACAGACTACTCCAGGTACCCTTTGGACTCTCCAGGGTGACAGATAGCAGTCTCTTTTCTTCTGATTTCTATCTATTTGTGGAGCCTAATCTAATACTTCTGTTTTAATAGGGTTCATGTGGGTCATGCTGGGCTTTTAGCTCAGTGGGGGCTCTGGAGGGCCAGCTAAAGAAGAAAACAAAAAAACTATTGGTTCTCAGTCCTCAGAACCTGGTAGACTGTGTGAAGAAGAATGACGGATGCGGAGGAGGCTACATGACCAATGCGTTTGAGTATGTGAGGGACAATAAAGGCATTGACTTAGAAAAAGCCTATCCTTATGTTGGAGAGGTGAGTACTGGCAGAGTCAAGAGGCTTCATGTAGTGCATACATATGCGAAGGATCTATTTGATATGTTGTACTGTAATCTACTAGCAGACGATTGGGTTGACTTCGTAAATGAACAGACAATTGATACTTATCTCAATGAATAAAGTAAAGTTGTGTCCACTTTGATCATCCAACCATGTGCATGAAAAATCATTTTTTTTCCTGTAGGAGAAAGTGTGTTAGGTGATGGGGAGAGAAGTCACTATAGGACCATAAAACCATATTTTATTGGCCTGTGCAGTTCAGTTAAAGTAAATTGAAATCCAATCACTCAGTTCCAGGGACGTGCGGTAAGGAGAGGCAGGTGTGGCAGCGCCTCACCTAGTATTATGAAGAAAAAAGGTGTCCGCTTCAAGTCTGAAGCTGACAGCTTTTTCTCAATTCAGAGCGGCTCGTTACAAGTTACACAGCAGGGAAATCCTCCCTACTGTGTAACTCGTCATGGATGGAGCGTTGTCTGTTAATTACAGGCAGCGCTGCATCTGGCTTTTGACAGGTAGTTATGTTACACAACAGCGGGCTTCCCCACTGCTTGTGTAACCTAACTTGGTGAGGCAAGTGCTGTCATAGTCTCTACTCTTTGTTAGAGGCTTGAGCTCTGTGGATGGCTTGGACCAATGGCAAAGCGCCATTGGTCCAAGCTGTCCAATCAAAAAACAAACACTGAGGCCATCAATCTTGATGCCTCACCAGTGACAAGCATGTAAGGGACAGGGAGGCTCCTCCCTTCCTCCTCCCCACACAGCTTGGTTACCGAGCTGGGGGTGGGGCTTCAGCGGGACAGGCGTGGCTTCAGCAGTACCGGGGCGGAGCTTCGGTGGGCTGGGGGGTGCCTCACCCAGCACAGAAGGCACGGCACGTCACTGCTCAGTTCCCCTATAAACTTCACCACGTTATTTTAATTCCAAAAGTTTTTTTTCGATACTGTAAAACATACATCTTTATTAAAACGTTAGATGTGGCGGCTGTATTCGTTGTTTTTTTAGGCTTTTTTCCTTTAATTCACCTGGTGATCCGGCTAGTAACACACTTCCTGTCTTAGGGTGACTACCTAGATCTGCTTTAAAAAAAAAATTGTGGATATATAACAGACCCCGGGTTTCCTACAATAATGGGCTTTAGAATTAGGTTGTTTTTTTTAATAACTCCATGACGAAAGGGGTGGATCTTCTAAAAAAGATCTTTGTCAGCCTTTAAGTGCCATCTTGCTGGACTACAACTCCCTCCCCCCCCTTTTTACTTTTCTCCATAACATAAGAAGAGATGTTCTGTAATCCAGGTGAGGAGAACTTACACAGGGCCTACAATACTTTACACGTCAAGCTTTCACTGCAGCAGAGGCAGAGTTGTCAGCTTAAAGAGGAAGCTAGGTGCTCACTGGATTTTTGACACTCTCTGGCTTTTCTTAGAGGTTTCCTCACTCTCTGTACTATATAAACTCTCCTATGATGTTTGTTATCCCTAGGACCAGACCTGTAACTACACCACAGCAGGCAGAGGTGCTAAATGTAAAGCATATAAAGAAGTCCAGGTTGGCAGCGAGAAGGCCCTGATGAAGGCAGTGGGCGTGGTTGGGCCCATCTCAGTGGGTATAGATGCCGGTCTGTCCTCCTTTCAGTTTTACAGTAAAGGTGAGTTTGGGCTAATTAACTGGAACCAGAACAACCAATCAGAATGCAGCTTAAAGGCATATTTAAACCTGAGCATAATTTTTTTTTTTATTGCAGCTTTTTAGTCGGTAGATGTGTCAGCTGTGTTTGTTTTCTTTGTTCCTTTATTTTCACCTATTGATCCTGCCAGTAACACACTTCTTGTCCTAGGGTGACAACGCATTCTCGCTGCACTGTGTCTATGGAGGAGCAGTGTTGTCATCCTAGGCTGCACTCTTGTAGTTTAAGCACCTTCTTCTCTTCATGACATAGACCTGAACCTGAAAATCCAAAATCTCATCTAAAATGTAAAATATGTAAATGTAAAAAATGGCACGGGGTCCCTCTAAAATCCATACCAGTCCCTTATGCAAGATAGGGGTCTGATATGGATGTTAAGGGGGACCCCATGAAAAAATACAAAAATATGTGGATTCCAGCTTTACATCAGAAACCCCCCATCACATCAGCTTTCCCCTTTACATCAGGAGTCAACAGAAGCCCTAACACGTCTTCCCCTTGCTGGTAGCTGCTTCTCTTTTTGGCGGCAGGGTAAGGATATTCCCTGTGTGCTGAGCCAGCGCTGTTTAACCTATGGAGGTTCTCCAGTATGAGCGGAAAGGAGCCCAGGATAGTCAATGTGCTGGCCTATTACTTGCAGCGCGTCCCCACAGGTAGCGCTATTCCCTGGCGGCTTCCATGTCTCCTGTTATACTGATAGTCATAGCCAACCTATAATACCGGCACACCATCCGTCCCTACAGGTAGCACTATGCCCTGGTGGCTTTTATGTCTCCTGTTATACTGTTAGTCCTAGCCAACCTATATTACTGGCACACCATCCATCCCTACAGGTAGCAATATCCCCTGGTCCTGGTGGCTTCCATGTCTCCTTTCATACTGTTAGTCCTAGCCAACCTATAATACCGGCACACCATCCGTCCCTACAGGTAGCATTATACCCTGGTGGCTTCCATGTCTCCTGTTATACAGTAAGTCATAGCCAAACCCATAATACTGGCACCATACGTACCTACAGGTAGCACTATCCACTGGTGGCGTCTATGTCTCCTGTTATACTGTAAATCACAGCCAAACCCATAATACTGGCACACCATACGTACTTACAGGTAGCACTATCCCTTGGTGGCTTCCATGTCTCCTGTTATACTGTAAGTCATAGCCAAACCCATAATACTGCCACACCATCTATCCCTACAGGTAGCATTATACCCTGGTGGCTTCCATGTCTCCTGTTATACTGTAAGTTATAGCCAAACCCATAATACTGACACACCATCTGCCAGGATATTTGTCCTTCATACACGAGGTTCTTAAAGTAATTTTTTAACCATTTATACATCAACCACACTATTTTAAAAATCTGTTTGCAGCATGCAGCCGGTTCTGCTCTGTCCCACTAATATTTACCCATCTGTCACCCATAATCCTGCCCGTTGCCTCACTCCATCACTACTATAATTCCCAGTGCATAATGGGACTTGTAGTTCATTATAGAGGCCGTGTACCCTGACAGGAAGCAATGTCAGCGCTTCCCTACAACCTCCTCCAGGTGCCCGGGCGGGCATGGTTGGGATATCTGAATGGAAGTGATGATGTCACAGAGGTTATAAAAGTAATTCACTCATAAAATAGATTGGATACCCCCAAAAAAGATGCATGGTCAACAGGTGTAGGGATGGGAAGTGTGGAGGCAATCAATAACTAGCCCGGAGTTCCGCTTTAAGTACAGTATGTGCAGAATGTTTCCAGCTGCTATAGTTAGGGAAAGAAGTAATGGTGTTTGGCTGCCATCTAGTGGTGATTACAGAGTAAGCACCCAACATTCATCACCTTACCTAAGGGTTTCTCTGATGGGATATGTTGCTGTTTAATATCTATCTTACAATTATTTTGGCCCAAATGATCCCTGAATTTGACCCGGTATCAGCTTCTTGCAGTCTATGTACAGCATAACTCAGACTGGAAAAGGGTGAAGCAACACAAGGAGCAGGTCCATTGTGCATTCCCATGCTAAAGAGCTTATATGAGTAGAGTAGTGACAGAGAGATGAGCTCATCAGTCTTCTTCTTCTCCTGTCACTGTCCAATCATAGCCTGGGGGAGGACCAAGACCTGCAGGTGTAACTTAATCACAGCAGAGAAAAATCAGGTCTCTATCCCTGCTAGACAGAGCCATGTTTGTGAAAAAGTTGTGTAAATCTCAGGACTGGATGGACAGAAATAAAAGTCCTTTGGCAGGTAAAATGGTTGTCATATATGTATTTAATCTGTTCAGCTTTAAGATCACATTTGAGGATTCATAACAATGCATGGATAGAATGACCGGTGATAGATCATATGTAGAATGATAGAAGCAATGTTATAAAGTGAGGAAAGGAAGTGTAGGAGGGGGATTTTGGAAAATATGTGTCTCCTTATTCCATACTGTTTATATTTGATTACATCATTACAGGTGTATATTATGACCCACAATGTAGTCCGGAAGATATAAACCATGCTGTGCTTGCTGTCGGCTACGGGGTGCAGAAGAAATCCAAATACTGGCTGATTAAGAACAGGTACTTTACTTAGTGCTAAGCAAAAATGCTGAGTAGTGTAATCAATGTGATTGTTTTAATGCATTTTATTAACGTGACCATTATAAACTAGGGATGCACCGATATATCGGCCGCCGAAACATACCGGCCAAAAATTGCACTTTTGGCAAAATGCCAAAAGTGCTATTTTCTAGCTGAAATAGCAGTGCATCCGTTCTCTTGTCTTCTCCCCACTGGGCGCTGCTCTGTGTCCCGGCGGGGAGGAGAGAAAGTGCCACAGGCGGCCGAGCGATGCGGGAGGGGAGCGCCGTGAGCGTCCAGAGTCTCTCCTCCCCGCACCGCTCAGCATCCTGTCACAGATCAGAGGAGAGCAGTGTGGGCAGAGACAGCCAGTGCTGTCACAGGAGGCTGAGCTCTCCTCCCGCACCACTCACTCAGCCTCCTGTGACAGCTGTCAGGATGGAGAGTGAGTACATACACTGAGTGATCAGTGATCGATGAGTGTTTGTAAATAATTGAGGACATGGTATGTGGACTATATTCTCAATTATGAATAAATGGGAAGTGATCTACATCACTTCCTGTTCATTCATGATTGTGGACATAGTAAACATACTATCTCCACATGTTATGAATGAACAGGAAAACTCAGTATAGAGGATTCCTGTTCATTTATAAACAGGGGATGCAGAAAAAGAGATTAAGGATTGTGTCATCAATCTCTTTTTCTATTTTAAAAGGGAAATATCATGGGGTCTGTTTAGAACCCGAATATATCCCCAAAGTCCCTAAAAGTAAAAAATAAAAATATGTAATAAAAATGAATACATAAATAAAAATATAAAAAAAAGTAAATAAAAATTAAATATTTTTTGTAAAAAAACTGAAAAAGTTAGAATAAAAAACATTTTCAGTTTCGGCCTGACATTTTTTTCATTTCGTTTTTTTTCCCGGTTTTGCAATTTTCATTTCGGTGTTCTAAAAATGTACATAGCATATTTGTCCAATAAAACTGCAGGTACATTTGTTCTGTGTAAGTTAACCAAAATGAATGTTCTTCTGGTGGAATGTCCTTCAATAGGTTCATTCATTATGGCCACTAGATGGAGCTGAGAATCATAGCAAATAAATACTTATTAGTAACGATATATACAATGTTGCAATTCCAGAGAACGCTGGAGAGAATGAACATATAACTGTAACTATTGCTATCCCCGTAGTAGCAATGGTTACATTTAAATGCTCATTCCTTCAAGCAGTCTCTAGAATTGTAACATTGTATCTTCTTACAAACATGTATTTAATTTCCTAATAATCCTCAGCTTCATATGGTGGCCATAACATGGTATTTTCTTGAATCACTATGTTCTTTATGCGTTATGCTATTGAAGAACTTTCAAACACAAGAGAAAATACACTAAGAACATTCATTGTTGCCCCATAGTTTGTCCCTTCATCTACCAGATGTGTCTATGGTCCAAATCCTTTGTGCAAATCTACCTACAGAATTGGACATTTTTTATATATGATGGCTTTTGAATCATTGTATCTAGCCTAGGGAATACCAGTTCAAAGCAAACAGCCCTAATGAAGGAGGTATCTGGCAGAACCATTGGCCCTGAGCCACTGAGATAACAACAGAGGGATTTTTGTAAGATCATGATGTAGGCACCTGGCCAGTTGATATGAGGAATCAGCTCCATCAAGAACGCAGAGCTCCGAAGTAAAGAACACAGAGCACAGAAATAAAGAATGCAGAGCTCAGCAGTATTGCACGCAGAGCTCAATAGTAAAAAACGCAGAGCTCAGCAGTAAAGAACGCAGAGCACGGTATTAAAGAATGCAGAGCTCAGTAGTATAGAACGCAGAGCTCAGCAGTAAAGAACGCAGTGTTTAGTAAAAAGGACGCAGAGCTCAGCAGTAAAGAATGCAGAGCACAGTATTAAAGAACGCAGAGCACGGTGCTAAAGAACGCAGAGCTCAGCAGTAAAAAAAACATAGTTCAGTAATAAAGAACGCAGAGCTCAGCAGTAAAGAACGCATAGTTCAGTAATAAAGAACGCATGGTTCAGTAATAAAGAACGCAGAGCTCAGCAGTAAAGAACGCATAGTTCAGTAATAAAGAACGCATGGTTCAGTAATAAAGAACGCATGGTTCAGTAATAAAGAACGCAGAGCTCAGCAGTAAGGCACACAGAGCTCAGCAGTAAAGAACGCAGAGCTCAGCAGTAAAGAACGCAGAGTTCAGTAATAAAGAACGCAGAGCACAGGAGTGAAGAACACAGAGTTCAGTAATAAAGAACACATAGTTCAGTAATAAAGAACGCAGAGCACAGGGGTAAAAAACGCAGAGCACATGAGTAAAGAACGCAGAGCACAGGAGTAAAAAACGCAGAGCACAGGAGTAAAAAATGCATGGTTCAGTAATAAAGAACGCAGAGCTCAGCAGTAAAGAACGCATAGTTCAGTAATAAAGAACGCATGGTTCAGTAATAAAGAACGCATGGTTCAGTAATAAAGAACGCAGAGCTCAGCAGTAAGGCACACAGAGCTCAGCAGTAAAGAACGCAGAGCTCAGCAGTAAAGAACGCAGAGTTCAGTAATAAAGAACGCAGAGCACAGGAGTGAAGAACACAGAGTTCAGTAATAAAGAACACATAGTTCAGTAATAAAGAACGCAGAGCACAGGGGTAAAAAACGCAGAGCACATGAGTAAAGAACGCAGAGCACAGGAGTAAAAAACGCAGAGCACAGGAGTAAAAAACGCAGAGCACAGGAGTAAAAAACGCAGAGCACAGGAGTAAAGAATGTAGAGCACAGGAGTAAAGAACGCAGAGCATGGTAATAAAGAAGACAGAGTGCGGTAATGAAGAACGCAGAGCTCAAAGCAGGATCCTTCCTCAGCACAGTCATCTTCCCATTCACCTTGGCCTGGAAGGAAACTCTCCTGGCGCTTCAGCTGCCACCCACATCACACGGCCGGTCTGTATCCTCAGGACAGCAGCCCGCAGCTGCTACACACCCCACACACAGCAGCCAGTACACAAGCTGCACACAGCAGGTGACAACCAGCCAGGCCCCACCTGGCCGCGGGCCCTCGGGCAATGCCCGAATGGTCAGTCCGCCCCTGATCCTGTTCCTTGTTTGTGAAGGACGATGATCTCTTCTCTTAACTTTTTTGACCATTCTTTTGACTTAGCCCTATTTCTAACATGCAGTCAAATGTGACACTCACCATACAACTAGCTAGTTTAGGAATTTCAAGCATGTCTGGTGCATCTAATATAGCCTTTGATTGGTTGCATCAGGTGTTCTTGAGACTACACCTGTTTTGGAGATGTGTGCTCCTGTGAGGGATTCTATTCAAGGGGTTGAATAATTTTGAGACTGCAGAAGGCATTAAAAGGTGCATTTTTAGATGAATTTGAGGAAACCACTGGAAACATTTGTTGTGTTGACCTCTTTCAATGGCTTTTGTCTGATTTGCTCATTGCAAACAGCTGAAAGTCTGTACATTTTGCCAATAAACCTGATCTGCAATAGAGGTTGAATAATTGTGATTACAACTGTATGGGATGAACAGATGGACCTCTATGTAACGTTACTAACATTACCATCTATGTAACCTTTCTGCTTCTGACCTGCCCATGTTTGCCTGTATTATTAGTATTGCTGATCCTGTAATGAAATGTAACCCAATTATTTTTCTCTCCTCAGCTGGGGCTTGGAGTGGGGTGATAAAGGCTACATCCTAATGGCCAAAGACAAACAAAATGCTTGCGGCATTGCCAACCTCGCCAGCTACCCCCTTATGTAACTGTCCTGTACACGACCTGTACTAGGAGGACATGGCCGCTAGACTGGCCGTCTTTGGTTCCTGTCCAGTTTCCTCGTTATCCTTCTCTATTTTTTTGAATAAGCACTTCCTGTGTCACAGAAAATTCACACAAATATATATGTTTACAGTCTATTGCCATTAAAGTATAAGTAAGCCCAATCACTAAAATCTCACATAGGATTTACCATGTTCATGTCTCTTGAAATGTTTTTGGTAAAATTTATAAGCAGCTTACGTTAATAAGGTAATACCTGGTACTCCTGCCATTAAGGCACTTCCTGTTATAAGGTGACAACGCTTACAGTTGAGCTCCCATGTCGTCACCCTCTCACCAGGGCTTCAAATGGAGACTACAAGCAGTTATTTCTACGCACATGGTCCACTGTTGTCACCATCAGGAAACCCGTCCAGAGAAATACATGCACTCATCAGAGTACAGAAAGTGGCTGCAAAGAGACTGCAGGAGATTGATTAGCAATAGGAGATGCAACAAAGGATAAAAGAAAGGAGAAAATTATGTTATAAAAAGACAGTTGTTGATGGTACGCAGTGCTTTTGCAATTCAAATGTTATTTGGTTACGGTTTACATCTAATTTAAAGGAAGACTCTAACCAGGATCAAAATGATCAGTTAACAAGATCAATACTAAAGCAGCTCCGATCAGGTACGCAGGTTTAAAGTTAAAAGAGCTTTGGGTTATAAGTGGGTATTGTGTGCAATGGCTAGCTGTTTCTTAGAACAGGGTACCGTGCACTAGGTGCTCAGTTGTGTTGCCATTAATTCTGAATTGCACCCCAAAGCACCTCTTGCCATTTATCATCACACAATGCGTGCTATTGCAATAAAATGCATTGCGGTTCCATGACAATAAAAAGGAATGGGTACGCTACTTTTTTTTACCACATGGCAATGCAACGCTGGTTACGTTGGTACTGCGTGTTGTAATAGACACTTTCCCGGGAGGTGCCATTCAGAGTAAATGGCTACACAACAGTGTGCCTAGTGTTTGCTAGACGAATGGATCCGACACCTTTAGCATGATGCAATGGTAGGTATAGAAGCTAAAGCACTTATACTAGGGCCAGCTCTAGGCAAGATGCCTATTAACCTGTATGTGTTTGGAGTGTGGGAGGAAATCTATACAAGCACAGGGAAAGCTTGCAAACTCCATGCAGATAGTGTCCTAGCCAGAATTCAAACTAAGGACCCCCCTAGCATTGCCAACACTGCTAACCACTAAGCCACTGTGCTGCCCATCCAACTGCACATAACATACAGCCATGGAAACTTGGAAGTACAATTCCTGACATCAAAAATGACTTTACAGCAAACTTTAAAATAATAACTCAAGCTATTTGCTACAGTGCACTGTAGTTGCCCTTTAAAAATGCCATTTGCAGCTTTTCTATATGTAACACATATAGTCGCCATACACACACTGTAATATCTGAGTTCCCTTTCAGTTAATGTTCTGGTCTATTTCCTGTGTGCTTCAGTCTGTTAAGCTCGTTGAATATTTACTGGTTAGCATGGGTGACCGGTTTACAACTAGGCCGTTATACCGAGGTAACGGCCAGGGTTATGCAGTGCAATACAGAGCAGCCTCAAAGCAGAGCATGTCCTCATGTCTTAGCAGCGTTTCAGGAACCAGATATACAGAATAATTTAAATTTGGTTTTCCACTTTTTGGAGCCAAATTGGGTTTCTATTTCTTACATGTTTCCATTCACATAGAATAAACAAAAATTAAAAAATTTAATTTTTTGCAAACTTCTGCATCCCTTTTAAGCACCTTTTCCTTGCATAAAAATCCTACCTATCCCCTTCCTCCAATGTATAAAAGGCTGCAGTCATTTCAAAATATGGTGTATGTATGAATGAACCGTATGTGTAGTATTTAGGATTATTTACAATTATTTCTGGGATGTCAATTCTGAAGTGAAAAAAATAAATCACGCTTGCTGTGAATGTTGAACGCCACACACAGGGACTATATGAAAAACATTTTTTACATTGTATTCTTTGTAAATTGTTTTTGTTACATTGTCTTCTTTGTATACTGAAGAGTCCGGCACTCTTGGATTTAAAATTTTTGATTAGTGGATATTGACGATGCTGATTTTCATTTTTTTTGTAATATGAATTTTTGCAATGTGATCAATATATGTTTAATAATTAAAATAAAAATATCAATGTCTTTATCTCCTGTTTCTTTAATGATTTCAGGTGTCTGTTCACACTTGGGGTTTTAGTTATAAACAATTCACATAACCATATGCAATGCGAAGCTCTATGAATGTTTATATTATATAATGAACCTTTATACATGAACACCTGATGTGAGTTGTGGTTCGCCGCGGTCCATTTTCCCTCAGCTGCTACTATACGGTGCATTAGGATGCCTTCAACGCATTAAAACACAATTTGCCATGACTTACCATAGAGCAATTACCTGCATGGGGCCTTAGGCTCCTGGGCGTAGTGCTGGATAAGCCAAGCTTGCCATAACGTTCACCAATTTAAAACAGCCCTGCAAATGGATGCCAAAGTAATTTCTGCAGAAAAGACATCTATGGCCACCACTGTCTGGAACTCGTTTGTGTAAAACCTGACATTGTACCGCCATTTCCTCTTCTGTCTAACATGAAAGATGAGAATGTCTAGCCACAATTCTGCAATCTCTCCAACCATAAAGTTCAAAGTCATGATGTTCATACAAGGGTGATTTTACAAGCATGTCCAGAAATAAGGAAACAGGTAATTTTAATGTCCTTTTTGCTGCATTTTTAAAGCATTTTAGAATCCAGTTATACGCACATACAGGTATACATTTATATATGTGTGCTGAACCCTGCATTCCCTCTGTGGTCATGGAAGTATCATCCTCATCCTTAATATTTGAAATGAGGAATGCTTCAGTATGACCAAGACCATGCCAAGTCATTGATCATGTGATCAAATAATTCTGCCAAATCCTTATAGCCGATTTGCAGGCTTATGGCGGAAGCAGCAGAAGAGAGGAAGTAGCATGGCTGCCTTGTATCTGGGAGACGGAAGAAGAGGAAGGCTTTGTCAACCACTGATTTACCTCCTATGCATGCACTGGTTGTATAGCATGGCTGCTCCGTGATAGAAAAGGCAGTCATGCCCTGACTGTAGATGGTGTGGCTCAACTAGCACTTTTTCCTGCAGAACCTGTTTGCCCCCTACTGCCTCCACGTACAGGACCTCTGCCTGTTCCTTTAGGCCTCCCTAGCATATTTTTTTATTTTAAATAAAGGGGATCGCCTGACTTTAGTGGCAGCTATGGCAATAGGGAGAATGATTATGTGCTGCTTTGGTACAACCTACCCTCTCACAATAGTATGCAGTGACATGCTGCAAACAAAGGGCAGCTTTCTGTGTCAGCAACGAGTGTAATAAATACGAAAGAAAATATACCACCCAAAAACCAACTTTGATCCTAAACGGACAGTGCAGTGTGGTACTGCAAAAAAAGAAGCTCACAAACTATACTATTAAACTGTTCTGTTGAATTTGTACAAAGTTGAAAGCCTTACCTTTAAACTTTCCTATAGCTTATAGATCTGTTTTGGATGCTACTTCCACTGGTCAATTCAAGCCTATTACCGCTTTATAATAAACCAGGTGTCACAGCCAAAACTACCTAAAAACTCCTTATTCCACTGCAAGCAACTCGATTTTCCCTCATGAGAAACTAAATGTAAAAGACTAAAAAATGTTTTTTTTAAATGACACATCCAACACATGGGATTCCAGAATATGGTGTCACCAGGGGTGTTTCTGGGTTCCCAAAAGACCTGGGGCACCTAGACTACACCTACACCTTTTCTTCAGCGTATACAGTCCTCAGCACACCTCTGTGTCATACTCACACTGCTCACCCCTCGTGAGCACCCACACTGCTCTCTCATCAGTGTGTTCACCAGGTCCCTTGGGTCACTGACCTTCCCGACCTCTCCCAGCCTCTCCTGGCTGTTCCACGTGCGTCCAGCACGCACCCGAGTCTACTTGTGACCATGTGCCTCCTGCACACCCACACACAACTCCCCCTGAGCTGTGGGCTGGCTTCTTAATGAGGTTGCTCTCAGCCACCTGATCAGCCCAGGCTGGTAATTGGCAATACCTGCCCCCAGGACTGGAGATTTCATCCCACCAGGAGCTCTAAAGGTGGCCATACACTGTACAACAACTGTACAAATTTAAAAAACGTACGATATGCCCATCTTGGACAGGCAGATCGTACTTGCAATCATCGCAAGCCGGCAGTTCGGCAGTTGTCGAACAAGCACGCCACTAACCCGTAACGTAGGATTCTCGGCGGGTTTTCCAGCCTGCTTGTTCGACGGAAGACGTGCGATCGTACAGTAGAAACGGTTGCACGCCTTCCATACACTTTGCGATTATCGTACGATCGCGGGACTTCCCGCGATTATCGTAGATAATCGTACAGTGTATGGGCACCTTTAGAAATCTCCAGATCCCAGTTACAATCAGGAAAACCTGGAAGAATCTGCAAGGCCAGGTTCTTCCTTATAAAATGGTTCACATTCTGGACCCTCTCAGCCCCTCTAGCTGAGAGTCTTGGGTAACCAAAGTAACCATACTACACCGTGTCATTGCCATCCACTGCCACAATATATATAGATATCTATAGATATATATGTACACCGATCAGCCATGACATTCTGACCACTGAGGGGTAAAGTGAATAACATTGTTTATCTGGTTACAATGGCACCTGAAAGTTAGTGTGTTATATTAGGCAGCCAGTGAACATTTTGTCCCGGAAGTTGATGGCTAGATGACTGGGTCAGAGCAACTCCAAAACTGCATGGGATGTTCCTAGTCTGCAGTGGTCAGGACCTACCAAAAGTGGTCCAAGCAAGGAAAACCAGTGAATTGGCAACAGGGTCATGGGCTGCCAAGGCTTACTGATCCACATGGGGGAGCGAAGGCTGACCCGTGTAGTTCGATCCAAGAGCTTCTGTTGCTC